CCGGAGTTAAACCACGACACCAAGTCACACTGACAGTGTAAACATTTAGGCTTGTGATACACCTGTGGAGAAAGCAGGGAGACACTTCACTGGAGACTGCTGTCTCTGAGGTGCTGGGTCCTCACACTTCTTCTCCAAGCACCCCATAAAGGCAGAAGATCATCCTTCCTCCAAAGCACTGACCATATCAGGGTGGAGAAGGATGCAGAAGCCTTGCCCACTTGCCGATGTCCTCTGCAGGGGCAGTGGAAGTGTACCTACGTGAGCCGAGGCTGTGCTCACCATGGCCATGTGGCACAGAGGAGGTGCTGTCAGCACTGCCCATCATCTCCCGGTCTCTGCAATGCCGCTCCTCAGCCCTGCTCTGCTCCCCAGTGAGTAACACTTACATAGCATCTGAGCGCGTGTTTCAACCGTTCCCTGCGGTCTCACCACAACTTTTGCATTCACGCAGTGAACAACAGTCAGAAGGAGAAAGAGCATTAACTACCCTGCATAGAGCCAAACATTGATTCACGGGCAAATGTGGGCAAACACACAAAAAAACCCCAAAACAAACAAAACCCCTCCTCTGTTTCTACTACTCTCTTTTCATCTCTTCTCAGTGCCAGGGGAAAAAACCACACAGAAACTACCAAAACTACCCAGATACCACTGACAGCATAAAAAGTCAGGAACACTTTGCATAAATTAAAGAATAGTGTAAATTCACAGTATTAAATCTATCCTCTTTATCTGGTGCCTAGACCAGGCTCTACCCCTTCTGTGGCTTTGCTGTCCTTGGCATGGGTTGATTTCATAACCGCTGAGCACAGGAGGCTCTGGGGAAGCTAGAGACATTTCCTTCAAGTCTTCTAAAGAAGTAATAATACTTTTTAAAGTAACATAAAAAGAGAAGTCAGTGACCCAAATCCAGGTCCTAGACCTCAGCTTTTCTGGCAGCCTCTGAGCTGTGATATGTCCACCACAGCTGAGACACTGTGTTTACCTGGTGCTTGTGTTTACATGGAGAAAGGTGTTTTGCTAAAGGATTGTCCTTGCTTCCGTTCTGACGGATGCAGAAGGCAGGAGTTGCCAGCTCTCAAACACACTCTGTCCCTGTGGGCGTATACACCTATTTCAGAGGAGATGCCTGGCTTTCCCACAGTTGAAGGCAAGCTGACTCCCTGGCAAATATACACAGTGCCATAGGGAATATTGTGCCCCACATGGGACCCACAACAAATCAGCTGCCAGATGTTTCTCCCCCAGATTCCTTGGCCCCAGATTCCTTGACTGCATGCATACCTGCAATGTACCTCATTCCTAAGGTGATGCACTGCAAGAGTGAGCCTGGACCAGTAGTCTCCAAAGCCCATTGCCTCCATCTCAGGATCAGAATGGAAGAACAGAGACCCAGGAATGGTTAATGGGCAGGTAAAACTGCGAGTATTTAATTGATTGGATTAGGTAGAGCACAGTGAACCAGCCAGCTAACTGTGTAACCTGCACTGCAGCAGTACGAGGGTCAGAAACCCTGTGTGCACAGGGGACAAGGGGCCTCTTGTCACATGCAAAGGCCACTTCTGAGGAACTGTGAAGGTCGCTGCGGTAGTAACTCAGTTCAAAATGCCAGCCACAGACACGTCTCCAGCTCCAATGCCTCCCCCATGAAGTCAACAGCCATGGCAGTCCTTTGAGCAGAGCCAGGCTGTTAGGCTGGACGGACTGGATTGTCACCTGCCCTTGCCACCCTCCCAAGCCACAGCCCTGGCAAGGAGATGCTGGTGAGGAGCTGGCCGTCCGCATAACTGATTATCTGCTCCCAGACTGCACAGAGAGCACTTGCCTCTTCCACATCAAAAAGGCCTGGGGTGAGCCAAAGCACAAACCAGTCAGCAGTAGAGACAATAAACAGAGCTGTCTCTGACTCCACAGTCCCACCACATGCCTCTCCTGGTTACAGACCCTTGAGCAGATCACACTGCCACATTTTGGAGAATTTCAGATCTGGTCATTCATTTCAAGCTATTGGGGCTGTGTTGCTTCCTGGACTATACTTTCTTTTTCCAAACACAGTCTGGATTTAGGTTTGGAAGCAGACGCTTGGGATGTGAATCAGCTCCATATACAACTCCTATGGTGTCCACATGCACGTTATGTCTCTAACATCTGTTGTAGTCATGGGAAAGCAGTCAAAACACCAGAGTAGAATAAACAGAGTGAATGAAGTCTAGGGGCTTCACAAAGTTCACAAAGTTAGGCATAGCTTTAGAGTAGGTCCTGTCTGCGCTTCTGAGCCAAGTGTCTTGTCTTTCCTAATTTTCATATATGTTTGTTTTATTCAGCAGTAGTGATGTGTGTCTTCCAGAGCACCAGCACTGAGTAAACCTGTTGCATCCCTCCCATCCACCAGCACCTAGGCACTGCTGGTGATCTACTGCTCCAGGTAAATTCCAAGCCAGCCCATTTGTTGTTATTTCTTCCATGGAAACAACCAGTCAAAAAGCAAAGGTCACCAGGGTCCTCTCCCCTTTATAGTACAGGGTCTGAGTTCCCAACTCAGGGAGTCAGAGGCCCAGTCAAAAAAGTAGCGTGAGAACACAGGTCTACTGTTGGTTTGGCAGACACTGGGTTTGGAGTATCACCTATTGTCACGAAGGAGGGTGGTTTGGTCCACTTAAAAGATCAGCTTCACTGATATTAGGGGGAAAAAGCTATTTTAATATGATTTTGTGAAAAGCACGACTTAACAGAATTCAATCGTGAGGTCCACTCTGTTACTTATTCAACAAGGAAAAGCATAAGAGAGTAAAATAAAATTAGCATTGGGTTAAAATTATTTATATATGAATCAAGAAAATTTATTTACACAGGGTCAGGGAAATGGAATCAGAATTGGGTTGGTGTGATTTACATACGGGTTAAGGAAAAGGGTAAGGAAGACCCTCCCACTGAGTCACAAGATTCAGAGTGGACCCCCCTACTTTCTAAACACCTCAAAGAGAAGTCATGGGGCAGCTGATCCACTCCTAGTCCCAGACTTAGTGGTCTAAGTCCCAGTGTCCCAGTGGTTTGCAGTGGTGAAAGGGTGAAGAGTTGATTCTCAAGGAGGTTTCAGCCCAAGTTTTGAGGTCCTCTGATTTCACAGACTTGAGAGTTTGTGATCTCCTAGAAGCATCCCACTCAGAGGAAGGTACTGGGCACAGCCTGCTGTGGTCCAGCAGAGCTCAAAGGGTCTCATGCGGGTCTCATAAGGTCGTGACATGACTGATTTTAGGCATCATTAACTTTCCACTTTGGCCACACCTCATGTTGGTAATTACTAGAGTATCAGTAATTGATGGTACCAACTTGCTCGAGTCATCAGGGAATGAATAGTTATTCCACTCTTATTCCTGCCAAGGCCAGGTGGTAGAATTCCTGGTAGCACTCTGGTCAGGCAGCCAAACTTCCAGTACAATCAGTGCTGCTCCCTACCTTAGCCAAGCAGGCATGCTGGGTACGGTCAAGGGATGCTCAGCCACCAAACTCACAGCACTGTGGTCAAGGCTGAATGGGAATCTTTAGGCCACAGGGTGGTCCAGGAGATGGGGCAGGGAAATGCAGTATGCTGTTGGAGCTATCACTATCCACTTCAGCCACGGTAATGTGCTCCCTTCATTAAACATACTGTACTTTAACTAAGTGGAATGGGATACAAAAGGCTCGCTCATCTGTGTTCTCCATGCAGGATTTAGGAAAAGAAAAAATTTACATCAGGAAACAGGTGATTGCCAAAACTCCAGTTTCACAAAGCACCCCCAGCTATGCTGACAGCACAGTGGAGTCCTTGAGGGCAACCCGCCAGCGTCCCCGTGGGTCTCTCCTCAGTGGCAGGCCTGCCAAGTCCCACTCCCCCCTGGACTCGGCTGCTTCGGGCAGCCCCAGGCTGCTGAGGCTGCTGAGCCACGGCAGCTCTCACAGCTGCTCACAGGCAGTTCCACTTGCTGAGGCGAAGATGTTTTTCAGCAGCTCAGTTCAGCTTCCAGGGATGTCATTTTGAGAGGGTCCGTAACAAACCGTGTTGTACAAACAAGCGTACGGTTCCCGTCAGGCGAGTGGTAACGACCCTGCCTTGGCAACAACCCGCGGCCGCAGAGTGCTTTGGATTTCCTGACAAGAAGACTGGTGACAGCTATCATTGCATTGTTTACTCTAATATATGGGATTCTTCCCTGAAATCCCTGGAGATGGCATTTGTCTGGTCTGGTTGAAAATAATGAGATAGACCACAATGGATTTCAGTTCGTCCTCTGTGTTTGATCAGCACAAAGGTAAGTCACCTGCTACCCATTTCTAAATCCTCCCGTGCCCCCCATGCAAATGTAGTAAGGTTACTCAACAGAATGAATAACAAGAATTTTTTGAAAAGACTGGTTCTCATAGAGATGTATTTTAGTTGCACATGAAGGAATTTCTTCCATCAGTTTTAGACGTGGATGTTTCAGCCTATTGCTACAGAAAAATAAAATGTTTCAGCAGAATAGCAACAGCATTTGATTTCTCCTATGCTTAGTGTTGAGAGATGTATGTATATTTTTATTGTATATATTAGTTTTCTTGTATATAATAAAGCAATTTCAATATTAGCAAACAGAGCAGTTTAAAATGGAGTAAAATTTAAGAAAAGCTGATTTGCATGTCTACTAGTTTGTATACATTAAAAGGGCTAGATTATGTTTGTATACATTAAAAGGACAAGTGATCGACTTTGCTTCAGCAAATTTTAGCTGTATAGGTAAGTATTGCCATAATTGGGAATTTAAGAGATCTTTAAAAGGCCCAACGTGAAGATTTTCTACATGGTAAGGTTGCTATGGAAATACAAATGTCTGTTTGTTTTCTGGTTTTAAGTTAAACGGCTGAATTTCGTGTCTGTCTTTGCCAGTACAGGCTTTTATGTCTTAGTCTTCATCCACTGTAAGGAATGTAGTGGCATTCCTTTTCTGTTCCCAAAGCAGGAAGCTGTCACTGTTTGATTATACGTGTTGCAACAGACTTCTCTCTAGGTCAGCTTGCCAAATAACGTGCGTGCAGTGGCCATGGTTCCCAGCACACCCTGACAAAGTGTCCAAGCTGACATGGCCGTGATGGCGCCACAACGGAGGTGCTGACTGTAGAAAAAAGATGAAGGGCGGGAGGAAGACAGACGCTGAGGTGTCGTTTGGGAAGCTGGGTCCCACAGGTTGTACTTCTGTGCTTGCCTGTGCTTCTCTGGAGCGCCCAAAGGAAACGCACCCCACGTAAAGCAGTGGATTTAGGGCTGCCTTTCAGCCGCAGTAGCGCTCGAAGCCTTAAGCAGGTGTTGAGAGCCCACAGCCACCCAGCTGGGACCCCATCTGAGTAGATGGGGAGGAGTGGGAAGCAAAACTGAGCGAAAAGGGAGCAAAAATACTATCAGCAGGGATAAAGAAGGAAGGGAAGTTCAACGAGAGATGGGGGATCCAGATTGCAGGAACAGAGACAGGTGCTCCTAGGCCATGTGTGAGTAACATAAGGAACATTTTCCCTATGGGGAGAGAGTTGTGGGGCTGGCTGAGCTTCTGCAGCTCCAAACAGCCACTCTCAAGCTCTCCTTCTGCAGGCACAAGGAGTATGCTCTGTGCCAAATGTTGACCCAGCAGTGCTCAGACAGGGGACGGTGAGGGGAAACCCTGCACACTCAGTGCCATCAGGATGGCTGCTAGGGAGCCAATGGAAGTGATGCTGAGAATGAGGCTGGAATGTGACCAGCGCTGGGGAAAGAGAAATGAAGTCTCCAGGTGGATAAGGGAGCAGACAGTAATACATGAGAACATTGACCCAAAGCACCTTGTCTGGATAGAAGTGAGAGGCTTCGGAGGGAACATCTGCCCATACCTCCCCTTGCTTAATTTGCAGTCCCTCCTCCTGCCAGGCCACTCTCCACACTGACCCATCCTTATACCTGTCCAGCATCATCTCCAGCCCCATGTCACACTCCACTCACTGCACCTCCCAAGCAAGAGGGTCCCCTCCAGATTGGTACATTCATCATCTCCCCTACACCACCACTGCAAGGATGCTGGCTCATGACATGATTTGTGACTTACTGTTTGCCTTCCCTGCTAGCTGCGTGGGAGGCAGACGGGGAGCAGGAGCAGAAAACACAGTAATGGGATACTGAGCCCACTGGTTATCATGCAGAGAAAGCTCTATTCAAAATTTACAGTGTATGGTGGTCTTATCTAAATAGTATGTTAATGTTTTGACACATTACTGATTTAAGCAGGCTTAATGTTTTTAGCAGGGAGAAGGGGAATATCTTTCATTGGAGCAATTTATAACAATGGAATAATACAGACTAGATTTCAAACACGCCAGATCGTATCTGTTGGTCCAATAACATAATCTAACCCTCCCTGCAAAGACTTTCTCCACTCCACACATCAGAAACCTGTCCCAGCTATAGATCAAAAAAAACCAATATTCCAGGTTTGAAAATCAGTGTCTCTTTGCAACACTTCCTGTGGTACCGCTCATTAATATCTTATAATACTTATCAATACTAACAGCAGTAGCAGTGTGGGACTTAAGCCAAGCAACATCAGAAACCCCTCCTCTCCTAATACTGCTTGATGCCATTTAAATGTGTGCTGTGCCTAGCCTCAAATGTTTACCATTTAAACAGAGGAGCTCTGCAAAGGCCTGGTCGGGTGCATCCACAGCCAGGCACAGACAGGGAATATTACTTTGTTAAGCAATCAATAAATCCATAATATTAGAGAGCGAGTTACAATTTCCAAAAACTGCACTCATCCACCTCTTGCTGACCCTTGACACTGACATGCTAAAATCAAATAAACTGCCTAAGAATGTGTCCTGGTGACAAGCTGCGGGAAATCACATAAGGCATTTGACTACTAGTGGGACCAAAAGGGTTTATAGGAAAGAGGGGCATAAATTATATACATAAATATTTCTTTTTCACAATGAATATAAATTATCCTGTTATCCAGACTTCAGTTTTCAAAACTTAGTGTTTTAGCAAGGTCTACAACAGCCATTGGCAAGACCACATATACTAAACCACAGCAAATTTATTTAGACTTTAAAAATCCAATGCAGGAGAAAGCACACGCTAATATACGTCTAACATGTGCTTTGTAAAACAGCACAGCAGCCAACATTGCAAATCGTGTAAAACATGCATTCTTCATAAGACAGAGGAGAATTAATGTCACAAACAGCATTTCTTCATTGGTCTGAAATTTATGATCATTCTGCATGTTTCTTCATATAACCCCTTTGCTGACCAAAGACATTTACTTCGCCTTAAAGCAATGACATGCTTTTAAAACACTGCAGCTTATTTCAGACAGATTGGCTTTTAACTTTGATTGTTTCTGAGGACTCTACTTACAAAAGAAGATGCCACAACCCTGCATGTCATTTGGTCTTTCCTCACTAAGATTCTTCCAAGCCTTCCCATGCTGCTGTCATGCCAGCCTGCGGTTTTTCCCTACCCCTGCTCCATACACAGGCTCTCAGTTGGACCTCCTGCCTTACTGAAGCTGACTGACAGCTTCCTTTCACCAGCAGCACAGTAATTTTCCAAAATAAAAAGTAAAATGTCTCTGAAATGGCATCAGTACTCACTGGCATTTACAGAACTGCAGGATAACAAATGAAGTAATGCATTTGAAGATGGAGGGTCAGGTATTTGGCTGTTCAGAACCCCTTTATCCCATGTGGTGCTGCTGACCCAGCCCCAGCCGAGCTCCCCAGCAGCATAAGCTCACAGAGGAGAACACACGCTGTGAGTACCTCACTGTCCAAACCATTCCTCTTCGGCCTGGGATAGTGTCTGCAAAAAGAAATGGCCTACAGGCTTTGCACCCTCATTCCTTCACAGGCTAAGCTGGAGGAAGATGAAGTGGGAGGTGTGTCACCTGGAGCCAGGTGCATCTGATATAAAGGATATCCGAGCCCTCCTGGCATTTCCTGCGCCCTGTCATGTGGAGCATCAGAAGACCACACATTTATCTTCCTCTTCACTGCCCACCCAAAACCCAACAGCCCATGTTAAAGACAGCCCACTTGAAATCGTGTCACCCTACAGAAATGGAATTAGTGTCAGACTGTCTTTTGTCAGGTGCACAATACAGGCACTCATCCATTCCTCCTGGCCTAGTGTCCCTATCCAGCAGCGTGACAGCCTGGTCCACCTGCCTCTCCTTGCTCTGATGGCTGGCACTCATGGGTGGGGAAATGTGTGGCTACATGCCACCACCCCTTAGCAGGAGCAGAGCCTGTGTTCCGCAAGAGCAGTGGTGGGGAAAATTTTGTCCATCCATCCATCCATCCATCCATCCATCCATCCATCTATCCATCCATCCATCGTTTTGCTTCTTCTCCTCATATAGGAGGATAACTGCTCTGGGAAAGCAGATCCAGCCCAGAACAAGCGAAGGCACAGGGAAGAAGGTGTTTTGGTTTTATTTAGATGAAAAAGGGCAGAGGGAATCAGGGCAGGTGTGCAACCATGTCCACATCTTCCTACCATCCTGCCCTCCAGGTTAGCAACTGCTCTGCTCTGGAGATGGAAAGTTTTCTTTTGTGGCTGGGTTGGTCTCTGCTCCTGACTCACTGCAGGAAAATTCAACTGTACTTGCAGGCACAAACAGCAAAAAATACAAAATTTACATGTGTAATGCATAAAAGGAGGTGAGGGCCCCTTTGATCCACTGTCTGTCTCAGTACATCTAACAGTTTCTTTCCCAATGCCAGCAGCATCTCCTCTGTACCGTTTCCATGTAATAACCACCACATGCAGCCGCGAGAGAAGCTGCGTGTGTGCTGGTGAGTGACACCTCCTGTGTACCTCCGGAGACTGGACAAGGGGAGCAACACAAGCAATGAACCTCTGCCTTGCCTCCTTGCCTTCTGCCCAGCCCATACTACACCCCTCTTCGGGGCTAGCTCAGACCTGAGCTTGTTATTACCATGTCGTTGCTGAGTTTACCAACTGTGGGAGCAGTCCGCAGATCTGGTGTGATAAGGAAGTCTGATTAATGGGCCCTGTGGTAAAGTCACTTCTTTTTTCATGTACTAGTCACTGATGATGACTCTCCAGAGACAGTGACTCTTAGTCTCCCCTGATCTCCCAAGCACACAGGTCAAAACTCCTGAGCCGAATGAATGGTTCCCTCAGCAATAGGGTCCCCAGTAAAATAAAAAATCAAGTTAATATTTTTAATTTACAAATTTTATCAAATGTGTAATTTCAAATGCCAGCTAGAAGGAAGAAAATAAATTAAATTCTCTTTAATTGAGTAGTGATGAAGAGAGAATCTGTGCCCTGGTGAAGGCAGATTTAACATCAGCTCCCTAAGAGCACAACCAGAGCTCCAGCTTTGACAGACTAACCTTTCCAGCGTAAGAGCTGATTGTGTTTCCATGGCAGCCAAGTTTCGAAGTCGAGAGTGATGATTGCATCCTGGGGAGAGAAGTCAAATGTGGGGAATTATGCTGGGCTGTAAACCCCAGTGTGGTACTCATGCAGGTTCAGCTGCAACATCTGATCTCGACGTGAATAGTGTGGTTAATACTTTAAAACAACATTTAAATATCTTTTATCACTCAAAAATATAGATATGACAATGCTTAAAATATAATTTATATAAATGAGTTAATAGTAATATATTATTTGATTATGAAAACCTTTTCTTGACTTTTCAAATTCTCCTTAAACTGTCTTCCTTTTTTCTGCACAGCTTACATAGTTATGCTATCTCCAGAAGACACAACAGTAAGGATAAGTCACCAATCACTTAACCTGTCATTGATAAAATCTCTAGTGTGATTTAGGCATCAGTTTTATTTTGTCCTGCTAACAAGGCAATGCAGTGGCTGGACAAAAATTATGCTCTGTACCTCAGTCACAGTGAACGGTACAGCTCACTGCATCTGTACTTCTTTTTGAGGTAATAAGCATCAGAAACTCTTTTTAAAATTAAACATGATTTTAACAACAATTAATATGTAGAGCATTTTACCATTATATCAGATCTGACCCTGCACCAAAAATTATCTCTTTTGACTCCTGGAGTTGAGAGGTTAATAGTCAGCTTGAAGCCAAAGGTGGTGTAGGCTTGTGGAGCATGGGATGACCAATCTGAAAGGAAGTTACAAGCAAAGAGAGAAAAATAGCATTAATTTCTCTAGAAACAAAAATCTGAGGAGTGTTCAGGAACAGGTCCTGCAAAGCATCAGCTTTAAACAGTATTTCATACTGTGTTTGCCAAACAAAATAAACCCCTCCTGGCTTCCAAGCAATAGTCCACCTTTCCTTTTTGCAGGAATTATTAACACAAACCATTGCTGCCAGAAGTTCCCCCTCCTGAGAAGAGAATTCCCCTGGACACCGCAGGGAAAGGAAATGAAAAGCGTCAGTCTTCAGGCTGGTGCAAGGATAACACTGAAACTGAAAACTGTGTCCCAATTTCACCGTCTCTCATAAAAGTGTAGCCCGCAATATTATGAGCTAGTTCAGATACCACTTCATTGTTTCTCAAGTCATATTCCATGAACGTTGGTATGATTCCTTAAAAGAGGTGAAAACTTTCCAGGACTTTCCTTTTCTCCTCTCAATGACTATGTCTGACAGTTTTTGGAAGAAATTATGATGAAAACCAAGTTTCAGATGAGTAACAAACACCACAGTGCTGTTTAGATACACTTTATCCCACCTTGAGTTGTATAGTCACAAAAACTCGGTGAAGTAAGTGTCATTGTTTCACCGTTAGCCATTTGTACTTGCTCTCTGCCTACTCACAGGCATACTCCTCCCTGGCAGGTGAAGCGGCAGAAGAGATTGACTTGACGGTGGTTTACCAGGCAGCAGCTAATGGTGATGTGAACACACTAACTGCGGTGATTCGAGAAGATCCTTCCATCCTGGAGTGCTGCGACAGTGAGGGTAAATGAGGGCTGAGTTTGTTCTTAGGGGATTAGTGGCTTCAGCTTGCAACTAAGTTTTCCATTTTTTTATTGTGATTTTTGTGTTCAGTAAATTATATTTAATAGCAGAATATGGGAAATGTGGGTTATTCTTTGGAATACCCACTGGAAATGCTGAGTTCAGATACTTCTTTCCCCCGGTAATTGTAAGATTTTTTATATGGATGCAAATAAGTTGTTTTGCTATAATCAGACAGTACTTTATCATGGATCTATTCTGCCTTCTTTAGGGACATGCTGAGAAATTGTCATTTCAGGGAACAAAAAAGATATTTTTTATCGAAGCCAAATACTATAGATTGTGCACAACTCCGGAGTAGAGGATTCCAGTCTTTTACATTTAAAAAGTATGTGTACAGACAACAGTTTGAATGATTCTGTCAGGTAATTGTTTGCCAAAGGGTTAGTTCTACAATGTGCAATAATCTAAATAATCTGCTGTATCTGTGAGACTGTGCCCCTTCTTATTTTGTGTTCAGGTTCCTATTTAACACTGTCCATCAGCTGGGTTGCATATGCATCTATTTCCAAGTGAATTAGAGCCACAGATCTCTGGAATCTTCTCTTAAGGAAGATTTTGTTTATTCAAAAGTATTTTTTAATTGCAGTTTCTTTCAAAGGGTCCATATGAACACTGTCTATCTTAATCTTTACCAGCTTTTACCACTTTACCAATTCTTCCTACACTTTAAACTAGACATCCTAATTGTAATCTTTAAAACATCTATTGGGCAGAAGGGAAGATGCTTAATCAATCTAAAATGCTGTCAGTCCAGACCTTTAATGGAAGAAGGACTAGGTATGAAGGGCAGTGGGTGCAGATAGACTGACCAGCAAACATAAGTATTTCAGCTCCAGAATAAACTTGTTTACTAGGTTGTCCTTAGAGATGTAACTGAAGACCAGTCTGGCAAGACAAAACATATGTCTCATATCCTGCACATATGGCAGAGTCTGCATAACCTCAGGTTGAGTAGCACCCATGTGCTCAGCAGTCTCATTGAATCCAGCAAGACTAATTATTCTTTAGTTGTGGCTGAAGTTTCTGATAGTTTCTAGTGTCTAATATTCATGTTTATTCCCAGCGTAGTCATTTTAAATTGCTTTGTCAGATTCTGCAGGAAAATCTCTTGCTGTTATTCAGCAATTAACAGAATGGAAGAAAGAGGAAGCAATTAGAAGATATCATAATACTTCATGGTGAAATCTGAGTATTAGGTTTGAATGTAGATTTCAGGTTTTTTCCAGCACAAAAAATGTTTGTAGAATATAAGATAAGTTCTCACAACAACAGAAAAGAAAATATTCTAGAGCAAACCCAGTTTTTAAAATAAGTTGTTGTCTACGTAAAGCACCAACTCACACATACGCACCTTTGCATGGGACAGGGCTTGATTTCGTAGATCTGTCGAATACCTAGAGACAGAATGAAGCTGGGGTTTGAGAAAATTAGTCAAGCACCATCTGGCTACTAGTCACTCTCAAGAATATCAGCCTCAGCTCATACTGGGAGCTTGTCAACAGAAAAACACTTTTCCCTCCAGAAGTGGAGTTAATGAGGCAAGGCTTTTGCTAACGAAGTCATGCTCTTTTTAAAATCAGCAGTCAGCAACTGGCATAGCAGTTACTTCCTGCCTGTAAAAAAAAAAAAAAAGAAAACTGAGTACAAGCGTTGGACAGTTGTCAAAGAAAGGATTTGTTAATTTGCCAGTGCTAACATTAGTAAATAAGAAAATATCTCTATCTTATGGCTTTGACAAAATAAAAATTGTGAAAGAACATTTGACTTTCTTCCCCAGGTTCCACACCCTTGATGCATGCTGTGTCAGGACGCCAGGTTGATACCGTGAAGCTTCTGTTGAAGATGGGAGCCAATATTAATTCTCAAGATGCTTGTGGACGTACCAGTTTATCTCTGGCAACTTACCTGGTACCAAGACTTGGGGAGAAGTAGGGATGGAAAGACAGATGGATTGAAGGGAGTGCAGACCAAATAAGATTTCTGTTTATGCTACAGAAAGAAAAAAGGGACAAAACATTTGGTTCTAAACAACAGTGAAATTGTAAACATTACCATAATGCAAAGATGGAAGAAATGATTATCAGAAAAGGATCAGGACTTCTGTCAGTGTCCTTTCTCTTTCGGGTTTCAAAATCGGTGCATGATATGGGGATCTCACTAGATCCAGGGTCCTCTGTGTGGTTTCAAGAAAGCCACTTGTTTCTGTGCACTGGAAAGTCCCTTCTTGTTCTTAATATGCAGATTAACTTCTCCCTTCCCACTGTCAGAATCAGACTTCTGTGTTCCAGAGAGGGCATTCCTATCTCAGTCTGGTGGTCACCAGGCATCTTTTCCTGCACAGCACATGAACCGGGGCATTGGGGTTTTTTTCCCTATAGTGCTGGACCATGGAAGGGCAGGTTAAGGACTTAAATTGAAGGTGCTGCAGGTGCCAGTGCAGATACTCTGTTCATAAGCAATAGATTTCCCCAGTACAAGTGATAGTGGGGCAGATGTCCCTTTGAGAAGTTTGAGGAGGGAAGTGTGGTGCTCTCTGAAGACCACTAGGATGGTGGTCTTCTCCTTAGTCTTCTGCTCCTTGCTGGAGGGAATTAGAGGATGGCGACCAAGTTACTTGGGCAGAAGGGTTGACCATGGGCTTCCATTATTAGTTGGACAAAAAGGAGGAAGGAATGTTCACCCATGCTGCATAATATGAGTTATGGCTGGATGACCGCCAGTTCATTTAAACTGGTACTGTGACAGCCTAATTAAGTCACATCCCTTGCATCTAGTTTCTTCCTGCAAATTCAGGACAAAAACAATGTTTCTGCTCTGCTATGCAATATTCAGCCAGAAAATTAGTGTAGAAAATAGCAAAACACACAGTCTCAATCAGTGTGAGGAGCATGCTCCACTTACTGGAGAATAAACATTTCCTTTGCCAGATATTTTCAAAAAATCCCGTAATCAGTGTCATTTTCCTTTCTTCCTCTTTTCCCAGAGGGGAAAAAATATTCTTTGGAAAAAAAGAAATTACTGGAAAAGATTTAAACCACCCAGGCTTCAAAGTTTCCATTGCTGTTTCTGTGATGTGTATAATCGGAGGTCTAGAGAGCATTTGGCTGTGATGTCTGTCCAGGGAACTGAATTCAGCAGACCTCCACAGTCACAGTCACACGCAGAATTTGGTGGTCTTGCACTTCCACTGGGAGCTGTGATAGTGATGTTCTGAATCCCTCATTCCACACCTTTTCCCTATAAATGTTGGTAATGCCAATCCAACACATCTCATACAGGAGAGAATGGTCTTTATCGATTGCCTGCAGAGGTTTGAACAAAACACTTACACACGTTTGATCACCCTGGGACTTAAGTACACTCTGAAAGATTTATGCAGTCAGCACCAGATTGTTTATTTGCTTTTTTGTTGAGGTGATCAATAGCAGGTTTTAGTCCAAGAACTGATTCATCCCATCTGTTTTGGTGCTGTTTTCAGTCTAACATTGTCACTAATTCAAACTTCAGCAACAAAGTTTATAAGACCACACTCTAAGGCTTTTTACTATTGATTCACCATGCCTGCTAAAATCTCATAAAGGAAATGAGATTAAGTACTCATGTTCTTGGTGTAACCTAGCATAGTTAAATTCACATGCAGGAATAAGTGTAGCATTTGCTAGTGATACAGGAATTAGGAGGGTTTTAATGACTGTTTACTCAGTTGTTACTTGCCACCGGCAGCAGAAGAACCAAAATGCAGTGTAAAGAAAACACCTTATCACTGAAATGAGTGACTAAGCTACACGGAGACTCGGACTCCAAAGGCGAACTGCTCTCAGTGCTGAGAGACCTCCACTGGGGAAACTAAAACCAGTTCCTCTGTTGGCAGAAATTACAACAGCCACACACGGATGCCAGTACCACCAAGAAGAGATCTGGCCTGAGCATTTCGCTTCTTTGACATGCCTTAATTTGTTTTTAGGGTTGGCTGGAAGGCTGTGTCAGCCTGCTTAGAAACGGTGCGAAGCAGAACATACCTGACAAAAATGGGAGGTTGCCGCTACACGCCGCTACCGCAGAGCCTGATGTGAGGTAAGTCCCAGCATACACAGGTGTCCAACAGCATTTGCTGGTTGAATCTCAAGAAGTAGTTACCAACACAAGCTACCTAGCCCAAAGGGAAGCCTGAGTCAGGAAGATGAGCTTTGGCAGTTACACCTGTGGCTTGCTCCTTTCTTTAATGGTTATCATGAAGGGAATAGGGAAAAAAGGCATTGTACAACACTAGTGTAACAGATAAATGGCCAAGTAAAGTGAAAAGCCTGGTTTAAGATCACAACAGCAGGAGAGAAAAAGAAGTATATAATAGAGGTTGAAATCCTGGTTTTCCCCTGACCAATTACCTTTCTGCTACCTCCCCACAAGAAATATTACAACAAGCTCCTTCTCTGGACTTCCCCTCACAGAAAAAGAGAAAAGTTTTCCACACAACAACCTCTCTGGGAGCCCCTGCTGCAAAGGAGAAGCTGAGGTTTGGTGGACTGGCTCATTTTAAAATACTTTTATTGAAGGTGGAGTAGCAATTACAGAGTGTCTTCACAAGAAGTCTTAAGAAAGATTCCCTTTGTGTCATCCCAGCCTGCAGTGATAAGAAGGCTTAGCAAATTTTGATTTGTCCATCTGAATAAATTCACTAAATAACTCCCCTAAGTAAATAAGTCTGGAGGGATAGGAAGATGTTACAAACAGGTAAAACATTCAGTACATGCAAAACATTCATGTGACTTAGTGACTGAGCTTACAGTTTTGCTGCTGTCGCCATATCAGACCACAGTGCTTTTCTGCTGATCTTGCTCTCCAGCCTCTTTTAACAGCTTTATTCATTTCCCATGTTATCATTGCTGTTCATGCATCACTTGGAGAGAATAGTCAGAGGTTTCTGCAAAAGTACAGGTCACTATCGTTAAACAAAACCTCCGCATAAAGAAAAGAATGTTTGTACAACACTGCACATGCTGCTACTTGAAAGAGAACAGTAATCTATTTTACCAGCAGCACAGAGGGTTCCCTGAATGTTTTTCACATTCTCCATGGATACGGGCAGACCTTTGATCTGCTCAGGAGCTTACCAGTTGCTCAATTGCTTTTCCCAATGGGCTTGCCCCATGCCCAGAAGACATGCCTGGAGTGCCGAGGGGAAGGCTTTTCCTTCATGGTCATTGTTACTCTCTTGAATCCCATGTTATTGTCAAAAAGGCATATGCAGTGGTCAGCTATGAAATGCTTTTTCAGCCATGTTTGAAAGCTGGCAGCCCACTGCTACAACCCCATGTGCTGGAGGAAGTACATGGACCACATGAAAAGACAGTGATTGGTCAATTTATGTACTGATTTGGCGATTGATTTATTGGCTTCAGTGCATTCCACAGAGCTTAAGAGGAAAGGTGGAAAGAGAATCCATAGACTTCGTGATTTATGCCTTTAACAGTAGATAACCAGAGAAATCTCAGCTGCATGGCTCCATATCTACATATCTGAGTTGGTAGCACTTGCGTTGTCACGATGGACTAAGGTTATAAGTGAGCCGAAGTTTGTTGTTGATAAAAGTTTTACACTCAAAGAAAGATTTCCTTCACATACACACGTTTCAATAATTATATCATAGAATCACAGAATGG